TGGGGTGTGGGAGCTGAAGGTTCTTCTGATTGCGAACCACCAGCAGTTTCTTCTCTTGATGGTGTAGTACTGCTTACATTAGTTTGGGAAACAGATGTATCGGCTTTTTTGCTATCTCCAGCGGGAGGACGCTGTTCTCCGTTGGCAGTATTCCTTAAGTGTTCATCTTGTTCCTGCTCGTTTTTGTCTGGTTCAGCGTTCTTACCATTGCTGACACTTCCCACAGATGTTCGGTCATTCAAACCATTTCCTGTATGCTGATCTCTTAACGTCTCTGACAATTGATCAGTATGTCCTAGACCAGAAGAACTCGACTCCAAAGACACTTGAACCGGAAGACTTCGTTCGCCTTGGGGATCATGAGGAGCAGTAGCATGACCGGTAGGACCCTGTTCACCGGGGACGTTTGTATTCCGCTTTTCCACTTCGGGTTGAGGACAAGTACGACCATCAGTAGAATCATGAAGTTCAGAAGAACAAGAAGTATCAGAATTCTCAGAAGGACAAGTAACGTCCTTTTCTCCTCCAGCAGAAGGACAAGTACCTTTAGAACCTGGACCACCTGACTCACCCTCTTTCCGTGCAGCTTGTCCAGTAGTAGCAGATACGTCAGTCGCCAACCACACAGAAGACATGCTCAAGAGCAAAACAACAGAAAACAACACACGACACAACATCATTATCGCAACAAAATATTGCTTCTTGATTTGGAAAACTTAACTGCAAACTGAAGAAACAAATAAGAACAAGAAAGAAAACATACAATTATCACACAGTCTAAAATACGAATAGAGCAAAACAAAACCAAGACGTCAAAACACATTAGAAAAAGTAAAAAGAGGAATAAATAACAAAACACACAATCCAGCAAACGTTGCTTATGTTTGAATCAATAAGCAATGATTACTATATTTGTCTGTTACTGTCTTATTTTTCCAATGCCTCACTATTATTATTGGCGCAGGGCAACGCCCATAATGACCCAGCAAACAAAAAGCGAAGAAAAAATTATTAAAACGTAGCCCAATTTACACAGTAAACACTAAAATATACACCAACTATGGGTGTAAGTCTATACATGTGTATACGCAATTATAAATATAAATTCATTTGTTATTATTATTTACTTTTTCCCACTACAAAAAAAAGCAGTTCATTATCATAACAGTGCAAGCCCAGGCACACACAGAGAGTCTCCAAGAACACACACAATGGAGTAGCAATAATAATAATTATAGGATAAACACAGAGAGAGCAAAAACACACACAAAACACATTAACAGTAAGAAACATAAAAAAGAGAAGATAAATCCCAATAGGTGGAAGATTAGTTAGACTGTATGGATGCATGCAAAAAAAGAAAACAAAGGATGATCTGAGTCACACCACCATCACCACCACCACAATCAGCACACAAGAATACAGGCCAGTGTAACCACAATCAGTAGTGGTACACGCACCCACACAGAACTGCTGATACTACTGCTGCTGTCTGCATCACCCTTCTTGTTGTTTGTG